AGAAAACATAATTGTTCTTCTCATTAACTTACCTGTAGATTTTAATGTAACGTGAAAGGAACTGAGTTTTTGCCACAAACTCAAATATTCTAATCCCTATTATATCTTTCCAATCTGACAGTGTAAACCTTGGATATTTCAAAAAGAGATAGTGGCTGAAACTTAGTTCCTTAATTTTGATTTTGATTTGACATGCTTCTCGATTATTTCTCTCAATTTTAGAATCTGCCGGGAACTGTTTCTTCTTAAAACCCCCTTTACCCCAGTATTCTTTTTGTGTTCCCCCTTTAACAAATCGGACGGTAAAAATAAGTTTATGAAAATGATAATTTGGGACTATATTTTAACTATAAAATAAAATTGGTCAAATGAGAATGTGCGGTGGGGACAGTTTGTAAGTTTAAACCCGTAACACCTATATGTGAACAACATCCTGTAATACTGATAACCATGGCGGTATACATGGGAGGGGGTATGGGGTGAGTTCTCAATATCAGAGGGTTTTAACAATTTTTTTGCTAATATAGGTCCTGATCTGGCAAAAACTATTAAGGGCACTAAAAAACAATTTTCTCACTTTTTGTCACAGGGAACAGATGAAAACTTTGTTTTTGCAAATATGACCCCTGATATTATAAATGATGCTCTTAAAAAACTAAAAAGTAAAAACAGTTCTGGACCAGACAAAATTTCAACAAATTTGCTAAAGTCTATCATACCAATTATCATGGGTCCTATCTGTCATTTATTTGATTTATCTTTCAAAACTGGGTTTATTCCTACCACTCTTAAAACTGCAAAAATCGTCCCAATCTTCAAGGCTGGGGAAACGGATAATTTTACAAATTATAGGCCTATAAGTTTGCTTTCTTCGTTTTCAAAACTTTTAGAAAAAGTGGCAGCAAATCAAATTATGAAATATTTGAATAAATTTAAACTACTTTATGAACATCAGTATGGCTTCAGAGCAAAGCACAACACTACTCAACCCTTAATTCATTTCTTAGATAAAATATACAACGCACTANCATTAGGTGGAAAAAATAATCAAAACAGCCAAGAGCTATTTTCCACCTAATTGCTTTATACTTGTACTGTTAATATAATCATCAATTTTGTGATTGTAAACTCTATCTGTATACAGATACATTTATTTTAGCAATAAACGTTATCTTATCTTATCTTATCTTAATCTCCTCCCATATGCAAGGAGTATGGAATAGAAGGGAGATACAATTGACGCGGCCCGCCCTACAATATGATTATAAATGCTTTGCAGACGTTACTGCATTAAAAATAAGAAATATTTGTCTGATGTACAATTACCGCGTATACCATAACCTATTCTGAATATTTCTTCTACTAATGGAGTACCGTCTGCAAAGCATGTTAAATCATATTGTAGGGCGGCCCACGTCAGTTATATCTCCCTTCTATTTCATATTCCTTGCTCCAATGGATTATAAATATATTAAATTTTAGCATTTAAAACCCATTAGTAAACTTATTTTTGAGCTTAGTTTCACTTGAAATTTGGTCGAACCAATTTTATTTTCTTTCCAGTTAAACCCTTGGGGGGGGGGGGTACTATTTCTTTCAATCTCCCCCCGGCCCTCATGTCACACTTTTGCTTCATTTCTATGAAACGAATATTTTGATATTGATTTCATTATCACATATTTCACAATTCAATCCATGTGCATATACATTATAAAGATAGAGAAATTCACTTACAAAATATAATCTCTACTAATTATAGAGATAGAAATATTCTCTTTCAAACTTTTATTTGACAAACAAACAGATAAAAATATAGATCTAATGTGTGTAATCTGAATCGAAATTTACTCTATATTCTGATTTATATATTTATAAAATCAGTATATAGAGTAAATTTTGAATCAGATTACAATTTGCACTGCAAACCAGATAGGAGGCAGGAGAAGGTCTAGTTTATGCAACATTATTGGTACGCTTTTCTAACCTCGTAGCTGCTCTAGCTTTGATTTTGTGCAATGCTATGAAAATCAGATTTACTCAATTAAATTTTAATTTTCTAAATAACTCATCAATTAAAGGAGTTCTGATTGAAAACATATAAAATTTCAATATTTCGTAAAATTTACTTTAATTTGATTGATTAGAGCAAAAAGGGCAATTATTAAAACCCTTGTTTTATTTTCACAAAACAAAAAAAAATTCACGCCCATGTTCAAACTGAAGGTATTCTTGAAGAATTCATAAAGTATTTTTTTGATGGTTGCAAAAAATATAAATCCTTTATTCTACAGTGTTGGCCTGGCTAGTTCAATTTTGCTGTTTAGATATTTGATATTTGAAATATAATATCCTGATATCCTGGAACAGTTTTACAATTTACAAAATATATTCAGATACTTTCCATATTATGACTCAGAATAAACAGGGTGAGTCCAAAAAGTGTGATTAGCGGCAGCTAGCTGGTGTAAAATTGTACACTTTTTGCGCAACTCTTATATATGGTGTTTAGTCAATATTTTTGAAATTTTTTATTTTTTTGGTAGTACAATTGCCCAAAAAAATCCGCTTACGTTTTTTTTCAAAGTTAAGAAAAGCAAAAATGAATACATAAATTATTGAAATATAAAATTTCATAAAGAATGAATCACAGAATCGCAGAAAATTTTCAAAATTGTAATGAGAAAATTCGCAATTTTCAGTTCTGGTCTAATTTTAAGGAAAAGTATTTAAATTCTCTATTTCATTTTTTCTTAGTATATTCTAAAATTATAAATATACGCTGTTCAGTTGAAACCTGAAGAACCATTGAAAAACCACTTTTCCTTAAAAATTAGACCAGAAGTGAAAATTGCGAATTTTTTATTACAATTTTGCAAATCTTTATAAAATTTTAAATTTCGATAGAAATAACTTATATTCACATTTTTGCTTTTCTGAACTTTTGATTTTAAGAGAAAAAAGGTTCGCGGATTTTTTTTTCGGCCATTGGGAGTACTAAAAAAATTATGTAGACATTGTAGTCCCGATTCAAGGACTATATATCGCTTTTTATAATCCTGTATTACTCTCGAAAGTCCTGAGTAGTCTCCTAAAGACTAATCCCCTTTGTAGTCCCGATTCAATGACTATATATTAAAATGTACCCATATGTATAGCTCTGTATTACTCTCTGAAGTCCTGGGTAGTCTTCTAAAGACTATTATAGTCCTCCATCATCTTTATCTCCCGCACCCCTCCTCTCCTAATGTAATCTCCCCCTGGCCTTCATGGGGGTTGCGGGAAGACATGGAAAACAATTGCATAATGTATATTTCTATAATTGTTCATCAAGTTGGGGGGGGGGGGCAGGAGGACTACTGCCACCCCACCCCCCTGTATATGCGTCTGATAGCCATGGTTAAAAGAAAAATACATAACCCTTAACATATTGTTTTAAAAGAAAAAGAAAAGTTTACCTGAAAACAAGACAATTTATCTATTTCTTTTCTCAGACAATTATTGAAAGAGAAAACTTATTCTATTGTTCTTTTAATGAGATATTCTTAAAGATTTTTTAAACTATTCTTTCTACTTTTTCTACCGATGTAATTCGTAAATAAAAATTTCCTAAATACTTTACCCCCCCCCCCCCCCTATTTACTTGTACCCCTTATGCATATTCGCCTTTTACTCATACTATTTCCTCTACAAGAGTTATTTTTTATTTTATTTATTTAAGTTTTCACCACACACCCTCTTAACACTAGGAAAAGTTTTGAACTAAGTCTTCAACTTGAACCCTAATTACTCCCTCCTGTAGGAAAACTAGTGGCTAGAATGGATCAGATTAAGATGGGAAGAATTATATTTAATGAACTTGAAACTATACTAGAGCTAAACTATCACAGAAATAATATACAAACATATGTAGATAAATCACAGCCATTGGTATTTGCATTGAAAATGGGTTTGGTATGGGATTGCAAAGCTTCGGAGTTTGGTTCGGGATTTTAAAATTTCAGTTTGGTTTGGGATTGAAAGTTTCGAGTTTGGTTTGGGATTGCATAGTTTTAGTTTGGTTTGGGATTTACAGAAATGGTTTGATGCCAGAGTTATGTTTTGGAAATGAAATTTTATCTATGACATTGGTGGGGTTGGTTTGGGATTGTCCGAGTTATTTTGGTATTCTTAGAAATGGTTTGGAGTTATCAGTGTTTGTTTGGGATTATCAGGGTAGGTTTGGGGTTCTCAGGGTTATTTAGGATTCTCAGGGTAGGTTTAGGATTATCAGGGTTTGTTTGGGAATATCAAGGTTGGTTTGGGATTATCTGAATTGGTTTGAGATTATCAGGGTAGTTTAGGAATTATCAGGATTTGTTTGGAATTATCAGGGGTTGATAGGGAATATCAAGATTGGTTTGGGATTATCCGAGTTGGTTAGGAATTATCAGGATTTGTTTGGATTATCAGGGTAGGTTAGGAATTGTCAGAATTTGTTTGGGATTATCTGGGGTTGTTTGGGAATATCAAGACTGGTTTGGGATTATCAGGGTAGGTTGGGAATTGTAATTTGTTTGGAGTTGTCAGGTTAAAAAATATATATAATTAGTTTTAAACAATAAATCTGAGAAAATAACACAAAAAGAAGAAAGAAAATAAAAAAGGTTGAATGAATGTTAAAATGACGTCAACGAGGAGGGAATATATAAAAGAACACTAACCTCAACAAGAAAAAAACGATATTTCTCACATCAGCATAATTTAAGATTATTTTACACCACAGTTGCATACAGTTTTACTAAAGGTAGTGAATTCCCTGGAGAAATAAAACTACAACTACATGAAATATAGCTTCAAGGGGCTTATACAACAATATTTTACGATTTAAAGTTTAAAGGGATCGTTTCTTTGCCACAAACTCAAATATTCGAATCCCTACATCTTTTCAACCTGATGGTGTAAACCTTTGATATTTCAAACTTTAGATTAATGGATATGATAGAGTTCATAGTTTAAAATATTTCAGATCTACGACATAGGGTTGAAAATATATAGGAATTAGAAAATCAGACTTTGTGGCAAAGACTCAATTCCATTTTAAAGAAACTCAACTCGGCACAAAATCTTTTAAACCTGATAACGTAGATCTTTAATATTTCTAAATCAAATTGTCCAAGTTAGAAATGTCAAGAGTTTAAACCATCAGGTTGGAAAGATAAAGGAATGGGAAAATCTGAGTTTGTGAGAAGAATTCAGTACTTGAATAACGACATACCAGATCAAAAATTATCTTATTTACAATATTTTTAAGTTTTCGTACTGCAAAGTTTAAAATATGCAATCGTAAAATATTTTCTGCAGAATTTTGAATTTGATATGATAATGTAACATGTTTAGGAGTGTATATATCTTAAAGCTAAGAACTAGATCAGTTTGTAACTAGAGTATTGAGAATAGTATAATTGTACTGCAGGGTCTCTTTGAAAATAAACCCTGGGTAATGCCGGAGCCCTCTATTTTAACCAACTTTTGGAAACCTTTGATATTTCATCAAACTTTGATTATTTGGTTTAACAGTATTCAAAGTTTGAAATATCTAAGGTCAATCCCATTTGGTTTCAGAGATATAGTGATTAGTTTTTAGCAAAGACTCAATTCCTTTGCAAATATTTTGGGTGTCAATAAAAACGAAAAAGAACTAGAGGCTTTTGCATCAACCAAATGATTTTTAAAGACACCCTGGTGTGTAAATTATAACACAAAGATGTGATATGATTTAATAGAATATGACTGAATAGGTTTAAATTAGGTTTTCAGAATCTCTTTGTTGTTTTTGACTACAGTGAGAACCAGAAAACTTTGGAAAATGAAGACGACATTTAGACTCAAGTTATGACTTTAAATAGTCCAATGAACATGAGACACTGCAATTGCGCCGCGTAAACAGGACAATTTCACTTAATAATGGATCAAATAAGGTACAAGTAACCTATTTGCTTTGTAACAACATCAAATATTGATTCTTCTATAATGTCGTCTTCCTATTCCAGAGTTTTCTGGTTCTCACTGTTTATCTTCTCCTGGATTATGTTTAAAGCTCTGTAACTGGGATATGTCTGGTTGGATCTGTTTGTCTAGCCAGGGAAATAAAGTATTCATCATGTTGTATAAACGATCTCTGATACTCCGGACTATACTGGGTCTCCTTGATTTCAGGTTTCCTCCAGCTCAGACCCTTCAGCAGGTTCTGTATCCGGGTCCTGCAGGAGTACAGGATAAACCCGGTGATTGTAAGGCAGATGGAGAGAACCACGACCAGGACAATGATCATTGTTATTTTCCTAGACTTGAGTCCGGTTGCTGACATCTCTAGGTGGGTCTTACAGTAGGAGAGATCCAAGTCTAAGATACTTCGTCCCGCAAGGTTCTCGGGTTCCGAGCAGGTCAGGGTCATATTTCGACCCGTAGCAAGGATTTGTAAGCTCTGAATGTTACAGTCACACATCCAGGGGTTTCCGTCTCCTACCAGAGACACCTGCTCCCCCAGATCTAGGTTCAAATTGTAGAATCTGTTCCTTTCCAGGTTCAGATCAACCAGGTTTTCTAAATGTGAAACTATCTCCGGATCTAGATGATATAAATCCTGGTTGTGAGATATATTAATACTGGTTAGGCTCCGGGTATCCTGGAAAGCTGATCCGTCAATTTGTTCCAACATTTTATTTTCCATTATTTCAAGGCTTTTTAGTCTTTTCAATCCCTTGAACGCGTTCCTAGAGATACTTGTCAGATTGTTTTGATTTAGGATTAGTATCTCTAGACTAGGGAGGAATTGGAAGAGCGGAGTTGGGATGAATTGTAATCCTGTTTGAGTCAGGTTCAGTGATCTAATAGAGGAGGGTAGGATAAGGTTGGAGTAATTAAACCTAGGATTAAAACTAACATCTAGGATATGAAGAGTATTCAAGGGTCTAGGATTAAGCTCTAGTATCTGATTGTGAGCTAAATGAAGATATCTCAGATTGGATAATGATTCCCAAACTTCCTCCGCCACGCTCTCTATCCTGTTATTCTCAAGGCGGAGAACCTCGAGCGAACCTAGTCCTGAGAAGGCAGAGGAATTCAACTCCCGGATTTGATTGTTCCCCAGGTTCAGTTGGGTTAGGTTCGGCATATGAATAAAAACCTCTCCATCTATAACTTGAATAGAGTTAAAGGATAAGTCTAGGCTGTCCAGACTGATCAAACCAAAAAATGTAAATTTTCGAATCACCGTCACTTCGTTGTTGCTGAGATCGAGTTCAACAAGTTTTCTCTGAGCCTCGAACGTTTTGTCCTGAAGGTTGACGAGGTTAGAGTGCTCGAGGTTAACCGTCCTCAGCTCCGGGTGGAACTGAAAGGAGGCCGGACCAACCTCCGGTATCTTGTTGTAGTTGAGGAGAAGGTTGCTAATCTCCGGGTGCAGGGTTAGAGGAACGATCTGAAAATAAAAGTTTAAAGAGATTGTACACGAAATTTCATATGATCTTTAATTTTAAAATTTCAATGTCTAGATAAAAATAAGAAACATGTCGTCGTTTTTTTCTCTAAAAGAGTTGAATTCTGTAAAGGAATTGAGTATTTGCCACAAACTCAAAATTTCTAATGCTTATATCTTGCCAATCTAATGGTGTAAATCTTTTATATTTCAAACTTAGATCACTTGAACTAACACAATTCATGGTTTGAAATTTCTAAGGTCTACGACATTGGGTTCTAAAGATATAAGGATTAAAAAATCAGAATTTGTGGCAAAGACTCAATTCCTTTCCTACATTGTTTCTGCAGCATAACTTCGCGGTCAACTAAGATTAACTTAAACCAGAATTTAAAAAAAAAATGTTTAACTAGATAAATAAGAATATCTCATTCATCCTAGATCAGAGAAAGGTTTTAAGGGCACCATTCTGAAAATCGGACATGCCGACCTAGAAATGGAGGGTTCAGTCCCTTTAAAGTTCTAGACGAACAGATAACAGAAGAGAAGAGTTTAGTGAAACTAATGAGAACTCAGTTTAAAACTTGGTAATTTACTTCAAACAAGAAACTTGTATTACAGAGAGAACAAGAATAAGGAATTCAACTCTGTCTAATAGTAGTGTTAGTAGTGTCTAGTGTCTACCCTAAATAACAACTCCAGCGACTCTTTTTCAGTCTTAACCTAACCTGGAAAACATAATCCCAGGAGGTTGTCTTCTTTCAGGGGTAAGGGCAAAGAGAATATATTAATAATCTCTGGTTTAGATGAAAGATTTACACCATTAGGTTCCATGTACAAGGGGGCGCAAAAAACATCATTTTTTGGGCCACCCTGTGAATGGAATAGAAAACTTCATCAAGGGTGTATATTTTTAAATTTTTTTTGAGATCTAGGAAAAAATTATAAACTGGACATGAAAAGGCATGTTTTTTCATCCAGTTTATACTTTCACCCAAAAATTTTACTATTTCCCGCAATTCAGCCTGTAAAACCCTTAAACAATCTATCTACTGGAAAATAAAAAGAATATAAAAAGAGGGGGGGGGGAATTTTCAGGAAAATATACAACCCTGAATAAAGTTTTCAGTTCCTTCTTACTCGTCCAGTAGAATAATTACCTCTAAAGTTGCATTAATACACTCTACCCTGAGATAGTCCTGAGAGCAGGAACAAGAACGAGGACATGATCCATCCGTCCGTCCTACTAAACCTACCAGGAGGAGTATACCTAGCGCGTATCTTGGAACCTCACATTCTTTTAACTTAGCAGTCTTTTTTAGTTTCTTTTGGTTTAGTTCTGTATTTTCCATATTCTCCTTGATTTCTCTTCCTTTCTCCTTCTTCCACGCCATATTCTCCTTGGTTTCTTTTCTTCTCCTCTCCTTCTCCCGTTCCATCTTCTCCTTGGTTTTTCTTCTTCTTTCCTTCTTCTCTTCTCCGGCTTGTTGTTGTACTTTCTTCATCCCCCACCTGCAACAATATTATTGAATTTCTATTTGGAAAAATATTAAAATTTCAAGGAAACTGAGAAAGATTATAATTTTAGAATTAAACTCATTTACAGGTTTGTATTTTTCTAAAAAATAGAATGATGAAATGAAAGGAAGAGGATGAGGATGCGGATGATGATGAGGATGAGAATGAGGATGAAGATGACGTAAAACTAACTAAAACGAAGTACATCCTGTCTGTTTCGGAATATTTTCACTCATATTTTCATCTCTCATTCAAAATCTGTCAAAAATAAGAGGCCTTATGTATGTACTGAATAATATAAAAAACATAGAATAGTATTAAAACAGAAAAATCATATGGGGTAAAAAATCGGAGAAGAAGGGTAGGAGGAAGTTTGAAGGTTCAGACAAGTTGAAGACAGAAGAGAAAAAATTATTAATAAACGGAAATGGAAAATGTTTTGATAAAATGGAAAACATCGTTCATCAATAATCCTCCAGCCAGGACAGGAGAGACACATAAACTCAATTGGGGGGAATTATATCTCATTTAAAAGCTTTTAAGAAGTTTATATCACTTCCCTATCTTGTCGTCTGGTTCAGCTTTGATATAAATAAAACTTATTTTATCCTTCTAAAGGAATTTTTTATTTCCTTACTTTTAAAATTTTATTTCCATAACATGAAGAATAACAGGAAATAGAAAATAATTTTTAAAGTTCCGTTCTGGTTTATGTATTCATATGTTTATATTTTTATCTATTTAGATATTTAAATATGTATATATTTAGATATTTATGGCAATTTCTAAAAATAGAAATAATCCCAGGTCTCCACGGAAATCAATTCCATTGAAACATCCTGTTTTAAGAAAATACAGGTAATACATGTTTCATTGCATGTTCAATACTATAAGTGAAACTATAAATACTCATTACTTATATGAGTTTATGTCCAATACTATAAGTGAAACTCTAAATACTCATCACTTATATGAATGAGTTTATGTTCAATACTATAAGTGAAACTCTAAATACTCATTACTTATATGAGTTTATGTTCAATACTATAAGTGAAACTCTAAATACTCACTACTTATATGAGTTTATGTTCAAAACTTGAAGCGAAACTCTAAATACTCATTACTTATATAAGTTTATGTTCAAAACTTTAAGAGAAACTCTCAATATTATTGCTTATATGAGTTTATGTTTAAAACTTGAAGCGAAACTCAAGATTCTCATTACTTATAGGAGTTTATGTTCAAAACTTGAAGCGAAACTCTAAATTCTCATTACTTATATGAGTTTATGTTCAAAACTTTAAGAGAAACTCTGAATATTCATATCGCTCTTGATGTTTAAAACTTCAAGAGAAAATATTTAACAATACTCATTTTTGTGTTTTAAATTTGAAATAGAATCTGAACAATACACATCCTCAATCCTCATGGTTCCAAACTTAAATATTTGAAATGAACAATAATTTTCTTTGTGTTTTTCTTTGTATAGAATATGTACAAACACCCATGTTCAAAGGTTAAAAAATAATCTGAACAAAATTTTTTATAAAAGACTCTTTACAAAACTTCTAAAGAAAGGATCTGAAAAAATCTTATAAAAAGGAACTGAACAAAACTTCTAAAAAAAGAATCTGAACAAGTCTTATAAAAAGGAACTGAACAAAACTTCTAAAAAAAAGATCTGAACAAATCTTATAAAAAGGAATCTGAACAAAATTTCTAAAAAAAGAAGATCTTAACAA